GGATAGCCTTATGCCTATCCCACGCATGCTTAAACTCCTTTACTGTGTGCCCCTCTCTCTCCCCCCCCCCTGTCCCCGGTCGGTGTGTCTCATACCTTTTTGTGCAGTGTGGCCGAGCGGACCATGGTACAGGAGCTTTAGTTTCCTGTACCCGGTCGGACTGACAGGAAGTGCTCTCTTCCTTTCAGTCTGGCTGGGTACAGGAATCAGAAGTTCCTGTACGGCGGTGCGTGCGACCAAGCTACACAGAGTGCCTGACAGGAGGGAGCGCTGTGCACCCACTTCCTGCGGGTCACTCCTTACTAGCGCCCCCCCCGGGCCAGTGCGCCCTAAGTCGACCGCTTGTGCTGCCTTATGGACGCGCCGACCCTGAACATGGTATTTGTAAATCCTATTGTACTACCTATTCCAGGATCAAGGTAAAGCGTATCACCAACGCACATGTCTGTGCCAAGATTTTGTCTCAGTGGGGTGATATACTAGGGAATAGCTGGTAATACCAAGATCAGCACCAAATGGATATTGTAGCGTATGGCAGGATAATATCCAGCAATCAGACGCATAAAGGAAAGCTCCCTGCCTACAACTATTACACACGTATAGGCAATGGAATAGACACTGGGTGGCAACAGGAGCGTGGGGTTAAACAAGGTAAATATACGACTAGGTACTGACATGGAATCCAACTCCCATAAATAGCAGGCATAAGTATAAAGATGAAACTCGCTGCCTATTTCTAAAAGGAGATTGGAACAGAGTAATGTCTAATTCCAGATAGTAAAAAATGTGGGAAGCCTTCCAATATAAAATGGAGAAGGATAGTTAGACTAAAATATTCACCCTCTAACAGGCTTCTCCCCCCATGCCTACAAGGGCACCTGTGGCTGTAATAGTGCGGAGTACAAAGGGAGGGTAATGGAGCTGTGAATGTTCAATCTCTTAGCAAGGTGGTATACTGGCTATCACTGAAATACCTTTGTGCCAGAATATGGACTAAATGAATCTGCTGTATTGAAAGTTTGCATAAATAGGCTGCTTCGCCATAGCGTTGAAAAATTTAGGTGTAGAGGTAACCTTGCACTAAGATAGTAGCTTCTCCCCCCCGTTCCATCGAGGGCACCTCAAGCTATTCCCGTTCCAAGCTATTAGCACATGATCCCTAGTAAAGCTAAGTGGCTGGAGCGTGCTAGAAAGCCGAATGGCTAATAATAAAAAATAAAATAAACATAGTGGTAAGCCCGTGTGTTGTCATATGATAATAAGAGACAGCACCGCGTGGACCCCTGACGGGCGCGTTTCACCCGACCTGGCTCGCCAGAGGCGAAGCAGCCGGTACAAAACACAACGTTTAAAAAGGAGGAGGACAGTTCTGATTGGTTCATAATAGATTGTTCCTATTGGTTGATTTTCAACACGTCCGTGTGTGTCAGAATGCTCCTCCTTTGTGAAATGATCTCGGAGGGAATTCACCCTTTAACGTAATTGTTACTTTTAAATATAATTAATCATTAGGTAAGTACAGAAAAGCCAAACTTAAATTAGAATTGACGGAAATGCCATGGTCATTAAAGACCAAGTGGTAACATGAAATATAAAAATGTTTAGTAGCTGGGATATTTAATAGTGTTGGATTAGCATGAATTGCAGTCTGGGACACTATAACAAGAAAATTATTTAACATCAATAGATACAATTAGGAAAGTGATCATCAGATCTCTACTAAATGTGATCAAATGTTTGAATGCAAACATAGAATCAGTTATTATACTATGTAGTTGCAATTAGACTGAAAATTAGATACAGTAAATTCTAGTAAAAAAATGCAATTGTTGTACTTGAATTAGCTACTAAAAAATTAAATAAAAAGAAAAAAATATTGATTGCTACGGAGGAATATCTATTAATTTATATATTATATTATTAGGAAAACGGATGAAAAAGAAACCAAGAAAAAGGAAGTATTGACATTTACTGCTCCTAGAATAGAGAGCTAGTATGGGAGATAAGTGTATTACCGTATTTATGAATAAAGGGTGTAAAATTGAATTCCTCATTGAGACCTTCTGGAGTGAGTGTTTTAAAATGGTAAATCCAACGTGATTTTTTTCAATAATAACATTTTGTTGAAGTTACCTTTTCTTGAGTTGATGATCAGTTTTTCTAATGCCTGAAATGTTAGATGTGCAGGGTCGCCACCATGGTACTGTCTGACATGGTTTGACACTGGAGTGGATATATTGCGGTTCGTAATTGAACATACATGTTGTACGATCCCTCTTCTCAGTTGTTGATAGGTTTTACCTATATATTGGATCCCACAGCTTTCCGTTCACATGGAGTAAGGTTATTTTGCTCAATGATTGGAATCGCAAGGAGTCAATCTCCTCTGTGGTCATTTTTATAAATAGATCTACACTTGATACTTCTTTCAGATTTGGAGTGAACCAGCTTTTGGGTTTTAAGTTGGTAAGTGTTTATTCTGCATCTTGTTCATTTAGTAGAGACAGTAGTGTTTGGTGGTATTCAAAGTCTTCATAGGAGAGGCCAGCTTCTTTAGCTAGTTTATAGTTTCTCCTTTTGTGTATCACATTGAGAGCCAGTTTACGACTAAAAAGGTTTGTATCCTTGATCAAATTACATTTTTGGGTATTAGGGGTGGGTACAAAAGATAGCCCTTTACTTAAGAGTGAAACGTGGTTTTGTTGGAAGGGTGAAGGTAGACAGGTTAACAATCTGATTTTGGTTGTCGCTTATTTGGTCTGGTTTGTTTTTCTGTCTGTTTTGTATCCCCATCTCCTTCTGTCTCTTAGTTTGCCTCTCTGTGGGAGATGCTATTCCGCCTCTAAAAAAGGAAGCTCAGCAGTTATGGCAGTAGTGTTATTGGTTTCCATGGTAACTATTACTGGAGTGTCTGGGAAGGTTATATTTCTGGTTTTTAGAATAGTTCTTCCCTTTTGGGGGTTCAGTTGGTCTTTGTTTCGGTAATTTCTAGAAGGTCTGGAGATGCTCGAATCAAGAGTCAGTCCAGTCGGTATTTCCAGATGTAGAACTACTCCTACTGTTGCCACGTGTCCTGTATTTCCTTCTTTAAAGTCCCTATGGTCTCTTAGAAACTTATCGTGTTTTTTTTCCTTTACATGATTTTTTAAATTCTCAAAATTTGTTTGTAACTTATTTTCCAGAAGGGGGAATTTAGTTTTGTCCTTAAAACACATTCACGTTAGATAGTTAATTTTCTAGATTTTGGTTAACGGTCTCTAAGTTTTCTGATTCGAGTTTGACTAAAAAATTCATTAATCTAGCAGAGCAATCCAGTAGGATATTGTTCCATTCCTGGATTTGCTCATCTGTAGTTGCCTTATCTGGAAGTGGGATTTCTGGTCTTGGACCCCATGATACCAGTTTTTGGTCTAAGTATTGTTTGAGACTGATTAATTCCCAGTAACCCTTAATTTGTTGTTGGTAGAGTTGCACACGTTAAGCAAATGTTATTAATGAAAGAATCATGTTGGATTTACCATTTTAAAACACTAACTCCAGAAGGTCTCAATAAGGAATAAAATTTTACACCCTTTATTCATAAATAATACACTTATCTAGCCATTACCGAACACCGACCACCCCCTGGCTCATTTACTTCAAAGACAACTGCCAATTTAGTGCTCTCCCTGTGTGGCCACCATTCATATAGTAGAACGTCACGTGTAATAGAAAACGGCGGCCATCTTGTTCGCACAAAAGGAGGCAGCAGTACTTGGTCGTACTTTTTAAGTTTTGCCAATATATGTTTTTTGTGTTGGGACATAATTGAGTTCAGTAAATTGCTTGACTCAATTATCTCCCCAGTACAAAGGAAAATGCTATTACAGTATGTAGGAGTGTCCTAGACCTGCAAGCCAATAGATTTACAGAATGTATTCTGTCCCTGCGCCCCTGTGTGAAATAGATTTACCATCCGTGCTAGACTTACTCTGGGTGAGTTAGGTTCCTCGATGGTCAAGAAATCGTCTAGGTAATGAATTACTCTGAGGCATCTGCAGTATTTAAGCAGGAGCCAGCACAAGGTTTCCGCGAAGATATCAAACAACATAGGGCTACTTTTGGCCCAGAAAGTGAGCTTCATAGCAAAATAGTACTGGTCTTTCCACTTAACCTCATGCAGATGCCACAGGGAGGGATGGATAGGTAAGAGCTTGAATGCATTAGCTATGTCAGTTTTACATAACCATGCTCCCCTGCCAACATTGATGATGGTAGCGATAGCATCGTCCACTTTAGCATACTGTAGAAAAAAATCCTCAGAAGGGATTAGTGAGTTTAGACTAGGTGTGGTGGAGGAATGAGGAGCCAAAAAGTCGATTATTAAATGTAGTTTATTTGAAAACTTTGCAGTAGCGATGCCCAGTGGGCTTGTTCTCCAGCTAGAGAAGGGTGGAAGCGTGAAAGGGCCAATCATGAAGCCTAGCTCAAGTTCTTTAGAGATTAGTAACGACATGGCTTGTGGGTTACTCAAGGCAGATTGGAGATTAGCACGTTCGAGTGTCCCTGAGGGGATTGTGACTAATCCTGTGTGAACCCTTCAGTGAGAAATCGAATTAGGTGAGGTGGAGGGTGCTGTGACAAATAGTGCTGCAAAGTGGTGAAATTAAGTGGTGACAGTCATTGCCTAGGGAACAATCTATTTGGGCACATGGTTTTTGCATGTGCCCGGAAACACCAGGAGCAAACATGCAGCAATCTGCAGGTGCTGTACCCGCAGCCGCAGTCGTTAAAGTTGTTGCAAATCTGAGATTTGCCCAAAACTTGTCTTTTAGGTCCCGTTGTATGGGCCTGGCAGACTGGTGTACGGAGGCTTGGCTGGTGGATGGGAACTCAGCGTCGTTGGGGCACAGATTTGTTGTGTGAGTGGATGACAAGCAAACTGCACAAGCTGGAACTTTTAGATCAGCAAAATGCCTACAAAATAGTTCCATATCAAGAGAACTCCAATTAGTTTTAATGCTGAACTGGGCAAAAAACGCAAATCTGCTGTGCTTGTGCAAGCACAAGTTGAACTCCACATCTTTGGGTTAAAACTGAACATATTACATGCCTAAACAACCCAAAAGCTTAAACAAACTCCGGGATAGAAAGGTTTGTTGTTCAGCCTAGGGTCTCGTGCCTTCATAACAACCGACAAGTAACCAACTGACTAAGACTTGTTGTCGATGACATCCTGTGACGCTATGAGCAAGGACACCAGGTTGACATCTTTGCCCTCCAAGTTGTCCTTTCTCAGAGTCAGAGGAACTAGATGGGCTGGCGTGATTATGGTACTGGTGGAGGCAGAGAGCTGGTTAGCAACCATAAGAGTATTACCCTGCATTCCAACACTCGTAATGGGGATAACAGGAGCAATGGCAGCCGAGTAGGATGTACCAGCAATCGTAGCGGTTTCCAAGTCCCCGAGCCTAATAGCAATGGTATTAACGGAGGAGGTCAAATGAATAATTATGGAGTGCAGGTCGGCCAAACTGGGTTTAACAATCCCTTCATGACTAGGACCAGGGATTTCAGAGTCAGTCTGAGACCTTACCTTTTTGTGTCATTTTACCCCACTCCCTCTAGCATGTAAGGTCATTGAGCAGGGCCCTCAATCCCTCTGTTCCTGTGTGTCCAACTTGTCTGGTTACAACTACATGTCTGTTCGTCTACTCATTGTAAAGCGCTGCGGAATTTGACGGCGCTCTATAAATATCATAATAATAATAACAGTTCAGCCTTCCTAGCCGTGGCCGGGCAGGCTTTATTTTTCTTCTTTAACTTCAGAATAGTACATGTTCTTAAAGGACTAGGACTTGCTGAATCCCCTTTCCTGGAGGGGAAATAGTTCTTAGCAGGGGTACTAGGTAAAGATAGGTCATCACCTTGAATGGATTTGTTTGACATTCTAGGTAGGAAGAACAGACAACGTGTAACATAGTGTTAATGATAGGTGAAGCAAAAATGGTGGACTGGCAGTAGCTAATGCCAAGTGGTGAAATTGTGTTACCAGGAGGTGAATTTGGTGAAACCTAGCTAGGCGCCGAGAGGCAAGAGAAGCTTTAACTAGGAATTGGCACGTGGGCTCAAATACCCTCTAATATAATGCCGGGGAGAATGGCTCAGGTGACCGATAACCGATAGACAAAAAGGTTGGGCGTGACAGGTGAGGCTCTGACTATACCAATGAGCAAGGCTCTAACTATGTGTTGGACCGATGGGCGAATGTACCTCTAATTTAATAGATCATTCCGTACCTTGGTCAAGTAACTGGACTTGTGTATGCGAGGTTGGAGCGGGAGCGGTAACAGGAGTATCTACTCCTGAACCTTGAATGACAGATGGGGTAGGGGGTAAACAAATACCTGGGACAGGACCTATGAGCAAACCAGACCTAATTATAACTATAAACGGATAACATGTATTTAATTAAATAAACAGTGGAAACAATAGCCACTTACTAACATGTCTAGCAGAAAAGTGACCTATAGTGTTAGCCCTAAGAGCGGCAACTCTTGCAGGCTTGGGTGAAATAGCATCAGAACCTATGTGAAGACAAATGAAGCAGTGAGTAAACCAATACGAGGGACAGGACCAATGAACAAACAAGATCTAATATACCCAACCAAATGGCATGTATATCAACTGAAGTTTAAAAATGATAGCCACCCACCATTGGAGCCAGCAGCAATGCTCCTACACCACACGACCGTACCCAGATCCCGATACAAGAAGTCCATGACTATTAGAATTCTCAATGTGGCCAAACAGGTTATACCCCAATAATACTGGAGACAAGATAAGACCAACCCTCTCAGGACGTGGTTCACTCAAATGGAGGAGCTCAGGGCGATAGAAGAGTTACACTAGGGGACGACTAACACCACTGAAAAATACATGGAAATTTGGACACACTGGATTGTGACCACCACACAGGCAGACTTTACTGCCCGACTTGACACAGAAGCCTCACCTGACTGAACGGATGCATGCGAATGACCCCGACAGCCCTACACCACCCACCCCCCGGACCACCCACAACCTCCCACCCTCCCCTCCTCAACCCTCTCCCCCGCATACCCCCCCCTTTCCCACTCCTTCCCACATATCTCACAAAAGATACCTGACCATTGTGATGCTGAACAGGGACCTGCGAGTCCGTCATTAAAGAGGGCCTGCGAGCCCGAATATTTACCTGTTTTCAGACTTGTTTGGCACATGTTGTGCCTTAAGTTATACAATGCTTGAAGAGACCTGCGAGTCTCACCGTGAGAAAACAATGACAATAAAAATATATTTACAAAAAAAAAAAATGATAGCCACTTACTAATAAGTCAAGCGGCAAGAAAGACCTATAGAGTCAGACCTAGAAATGGAAACTCTTGCAGGCTTGTGTGGGTGAGCGGCAGGACTAAATCAACTATCAAAAAAAGAAAGCAAGACTTTTTTTTTTTAAAGTAAGCAAAGCTTTAACCACATACCATTAGTTAAGATGAAAAAACACTTGAAACTTCTGATTTGGCTAACCAGTTCAGGAAATGTTGAACCTACTGAGACTGAAGTAACAGAAACAAAATACATGATACCTTTGAATTTGACCGTAAAAGATGTAGAAGACAGATCCCTTGACACCAAATATTCGTGACTAAAGAAACCATACCTCAATCAGGAACCCGGTGAGTGGTTACTGGTCCCAATGGCGTGCTGAGAGGCACCCGTCGGGAAAACTCACTGTTAGTGATCAGACCTCATGGAACAGACAGGCATCCGGCAGCAGCAGCAGCAAGACCTCGGTGCAGGCGATCAGGACCTCCCACTGGCTTATCCCGGAAGTGAAAGACCTATGGCAACACTGGAACTCGAGTGCAGGTAAGGGGAGGAGGTCTGGGTTTTAATAGGCCAGACAACTCCTCCCACAACCACAGGCTGACGCCTTTACATATATATAACTACATAAAATGATTACAAAAGGTATACAGGTAGAATTTAAATACATATATATGTGTGTGTATATATATATATATATATATATATATATATTTTTTTTTTTTTTTTAATTCTCTGTGTATATTTATGTAATCTTTTAACATAATTATGTGATTTTATTAATTAAAATTTGACGGACATGCCTGACAACCCAGGCAAAAGGTCCAGAGAATTTAATTCACAAGCACTATATGTAACCTTGTAACTTTTCAAGACACCATAAAACCTGTACATAGGGGGTACTGTTTTACTCGGGAGACTTTGCTGAACACAAATATTAGTGTTTAAAAACAGTAAATTGTATTACAACAATGATATTGCCAGTGAAAGTGACTTTTTTTTGCATTTTTCACACAGAAACAGTACTGTTGCAATGTGTTTTACTGTTTTGAAACACTAATATTTGTGTTCAATTAAGTCTCCCGAGTATAACAATACCTCCCATGTACAGGTTTTATGGTGTTTTGGAAAGTTAGAGAGTCAAATATAGAAAAAAGGAAGAGAATAGGCGCTCGCTATAGTGATCAGGCAGCAGTATATACACAAGGATTCCCAAGCCTTGTAAGTGAATAGTAGGAAAAAAAGAAAAACGTATACCGCGCCTAATTTATATATGTGGAATATACATACATATATCTTGAATATTCCAAATGGATCGTAACCTCAAAAAGAAAAGATTAAGAAACAAGTAACAGTGCAATACAGTAAATATATTCTTTAAAGCAGATGGTATAAGGCTAAGTTCAATCCACTCACATATGGATGAGCTATAACAGAGCTCTGCTGTGAAAACGCCTGGACGGTACAATCCCCGTCTTTGGATTTGCAGAAGTTCCCACGAATATTTCCACAATGCAGTGAGCGTAGTAAATATGAAAGGGAAAATAGCAGCAATATGGTGAAGTAAGTACTAATAGTATGATCAGTATTAAATAGTATTGTACTTACAATTTCTAGAGCATATATCCTGCTCTAGTATAAACAGCATAGGTGGTATAATCCCCACCAAGGATATACAGGATCCAGGAAATAAAATAAAAGATTGGAGTGGATATAAAAGTAACTTTAAAGTATACTTTAATATAAACAAACAGAATAAAAAATAAAATGCGAAACGCGTTAAGTGGGACTATATTTTATGTTTTATAAATTTTATTTTTTATTCTGTTTGTTTATATTAAAGTATACTTTTAAAGTTACTTTTATATCCACTCCAATCTTTTATTTTATTTCCTGGATCCTGTATATCCTTGGTGGGGATTATACCACCTATGCTGTTTATACTAGAGCAGGATATATGCTCTAGAAATTGTAAGTACAATACTATTTAATACTGATCATACTATTAGTACTTACTTCACCATATTGCTGCTATTTTCCCTTTCATATTTACTACGCTCACTGTATTGTGGAAATATTCGTGGCAACTTCTGCAAATCCAAAGACGGGGATTGTACCGTCCAGGCGTTTTCACAGCAGAGCTCTGTTATAGCTCATCCATATGTGAGTGGATTGAACTTAGCCTTATACCATCTGCTTTAAAGAATATATTTACTGTATTGCACTATTACTTGTTTCTTAATCTTTTCTTTTTGAGGTTACGATCCATTTGGAATATTCAAGATATATGTATGTATATTCCACATATATAAATTAGGCGCGGTATACGTTTTTCTTTTTTTCCTACAGAGAGTCAAATGTAAAGCTTGCATTTCAGTTTTTTTCACATTGAAATTTGGAAGATTGGTAATCTTGCCTTTGACACCATATGGTAGCCCAAGAATGAGAATGAGTAGGCAACCCAAGGTATTGCAAGTGGGGTATGTCCAGTAGCCACTTAGTCACAAACACTGGCCAAAGTTAGCTTTCATATTAGTTTTTTTGCATTTTTCACACAAAAACAAATATGAACGCTAAATTTGGCCAGTGTTTGTGATAAAGTGGCTACTGAAAAAGAGTGGACATACCCCATATTGAATACCCTAGGTTCTCTACTTTTGCAAATGGTATGCCATCATGGGGGTAATTCTCATTCCTGGGCTACCATACGCTCTCAAAGGCCACATAACTAATCTTGCAAATTTGTGTATAAACGGAAAAATGGAACAAGCCTTATTTGACCCTGTAACTTTCCAAAACACTATAAAACCTGTACATGTGGGGTACTGTTGAACTTGTGAGACATCGCTGAATACAAATATGTGT